AATCCAGTTAAATATGTTATTTAATAAAATCCGTTTTTATTTAATTTTAAAAAAAATAGAGACGATTAATTAAAAACATAAAATGAGTACTGGTTTTTTAAAAAAAAAATTCTAAATGATTAATGAAAACCCGGAAATGAAGACGGGTTTTTATAAAAAAAATATCCAGTTAAATATGTTATTTAATAAAATCCGGTTTTTTTTAATTTTAAAAAAGATACAGACGATTAATTAAAAACCGAAAATGAGGACTGATTTTTTTAAATTTAAAAAAAAATATTCCAAACGATTAATGAAAAACCGAAAATAAGGACGGGTTTTTATAAAAAAAATCCAGTTTTAAATATGTTATTTAATAAAATCCGTTTTTATTTAATTTTACAAATACAGACGATTAATTAAAAACCGAAAATGAGGACTGATTTTTTTAAATTTTAAAAAAAATATTCCAAACGATTAATGAAAAACAGGAAATAAGGTCGGGTTTTTATAAAAAAAATCCAGTTAAATATGTTATTTAATAAAATCCGTTTTTATTTAATTTTACAAATACAGACGATTAATTAAAAACCGAAAATGAGGACTGATTTTTTTAAATTTTAAAAAAAAATTCCAAGCGATTAATGAAAAACCGGAAATGAGCACTGCTTTTTATAAAAAAAAATCCAGTTAAATATGTTATTTAATAAAATCCGCTTTTATTTAATTTTAAAAAAATATACAGACGATTAATTAAAAACAGAAAATGAGTACTGGTTTAAAAAAAAAATTCTAAATGTTTAATGAAAACCCGGAAATGAAGACGTATTTTTATAAAAAAAATATCCAGTTAAATATGTTATTTAATAAAATCCGGTTTTTTTTAATTTAAAAAAAAATACAGACGATTAATTAAAAACCGAAAATGAGGACTGATTTTTTTAAATTTTAAAAATAATATTCCAAACGATTAATGATAAACCGGAAATAAGGACGGGTTTTTATTTAAAAAAATCCAGTTAAATATGTTATTTAATAAAATCCGTTTTTATTTAATTTTACAAATACAGACGATTAATTAAAAACCAAAAATGAGGACTAGTTTTTTAAAATTTTTAAAAAAAAATTCCAAGCGAATAATGAAAAATTTGAAATGAAGACGGGTTTTAAAAATATCCAGTTATATAGGTTATTTAATAAAATCCGGTTTTAAAAAAAAAAAATTACAGACGATTTATTAAAAACAAAAAATGAAGACTGGTTTTTAAAAAAAAAAAATTCCAAATGATTAATGAAAAACCGGAAATAAAGACGGGTTTTTTTTAAAAAAAATCCAGTTAAATATGTTATTTAATAAAATCCGGATTTTTAAAAAAAATAAATTCCAGATGATTAATTAAAAACAAAAAATGTGGACTGCTTTTTAAAAAAAAAAAATTTTGTTTGTTTTTTGACTTCCACAAACGTGATACATTCATTATATTTATTTATTTGATTAATTTCGATTAGGTTAAATTCAAAATCTAATTTGAAAGCGAATATTTTATATTATTTCTTATCTTATCTTACTTAGCACGTTGGACAAAGACCTGCCAAAAGTGAGCAAACGTAATAATAATAAATAAACCTTTGATATCTTTATTTTATTTTTTTAAATAAATGCTTTATTACCTTTAGCGTGACTTTCGTAAGAAATAGCTCACTTTTTTAAAAAACCAATTATTTTTCTCTTTTTTTTGCGCGAAATTATTATAGTTAATAAAGGGGAAGAAGAGATATTTATTTTTAAAAGTAAAAAGGAGCTTTATATTACGACATAAAGCAATTATATATAAAGAGATATCTTTTTTTTAGGCTAGTTAAACCGAAAATTGAATTTTATATTAAAGAATGGGGGGAGCAGTGGCGTAGCTAGGAATTTTCCTTAGAGGGGGTCCATACATATAAAAGCTGGGGGCTTCGCCCCCCAGACCCCCTTTAACGGGCTTTCGGCCCTTTTGCCCCAAATCATATATCTTCGATAATATATAATAAATATATTTTTTAAATGCATCAATAATATGTTATTATAATTTAATAGATTATTCTCAATGACTTTATAATAATACTATCCAGAATAATTTCAATAGTAATATAATATCCTTCCACAAACGTCAAAACCAGAAAAATATAATCACTTTTAAGTCTTTTGAACGTATAATCTAAAAAAAATATTTTGCTCTGGGAGGGGTCCAAACCCGAAAACCACCCCCGTAACTACGCCACTGGGGGGGAGGGAGGGGAGAGAGTTATTTGAATTATAGTTAATTATCAAAGTTATTAATTGTATATATATAATATGTTAGAGTCAATTCACGTTCAGTCAATTCGTGTATTGATTGATTTAAATCTTCGCCCAGTCGCTCTTTGCCAATATACAAAAATTATCTTTAAAAAAATAGGTTTCATGACCAAATTATCTGAAATTTATTGGATGTAAGGTATTTTTTTTTATTTGGCAAAATCAGATTGTTTCAAATTTTTTAAAAACTTTAAACAAAACTAACTTAAAATCAATTAATTACCCCGTTTGTTTTTTAATTTTAATAATCTTACTTTATCCGAATATGTATTCTAAGAAGAATATCCATAAATTTTGGACAATATATGATATTAGGCGATTTTACTAAAGCAAATACAAGTAATAAATGATTACGCGATTGACTGTAACATATATATTGGGTCTTAGAGGTTTAGAAAATTAATAGTTTACAATTTCTTTTTTTATTGTCTATTTATCTCCATCTCGCTTAACGTGTATAGTCTTTAAGTTATTTAGAGAAGAAGAAAAAATATGTGAAAGATTTAATAATATTGGCATTAGTCTTACCTTGTGATAAAATCCAAACTTGCCACATAAACATGAGAAGGCCTATGCGTTGAAAATGAAAAGGGAGAGTATTTGTTCCCATTTTGAAAATATTATTATATATCTATAATATATGTTTATAAAATTATTTTCCCAAATATGACCCCAAAAAAATGTGTATAATTTTTAACTTATTTATTTTTTTAAATATTATTTTGCGTATAATTTTTAAGAATTAACCTTACTTTGTCATTCATTGAATTACTTTTTATAATAGTAAATTTTCGTGATATCTAATTTATATACTTTTTAAATGAGAATAATTTAAAAAAAAATAATAATATACTAATTATTATAACAATTAATATTTAATACCCCATTCCATCTAATTGAAATTAGCTCGGAGTTTGTTTGGTCAAATTTGTATTTATGTTAGCTTGACGCAAATTGATTATTAATTTTGTTGTAATGTGTCTTGGACATGCACATTTGACAAATATTGCTAAATTCGGTTGTAAAAATTATTAGCTATCTTAACATACATAAGAGATGAAAATAATATCTTTTTATTTAAGGGAGATTAGATATAATACAAGCCATAATATACAAACGGCAATGAAATCACACCTAAATTCTAAACATATAATATCTCATCGTTCCCAGTTTAATGTGTTTTAAGTTAAGTTCACTAACTAAGCTTTTTTTTCACATAGAATACCCAACTATGTTAAAGAAATCGTTAAGAGGATTGTTAAATTATCATTAAAATAAGGATTAGCATCCCTTAAAAAAAAATTGATCAAGAAAGATATTTTTAATTGAAGAAATTTATTATCAAATCATTATTTTTTTAAACTTCAGATGATAAAATTATTTTAGATTATAATAAAATTTTGTTTTAAATTCGATTACAAACATGTTAAATAATCTTTTAAAATTATAATATAATAAGGTTATTACTTAAAATTCTATCGATATTTTTGCCTGAATCTTTTAGCAGCTTAACATTTTTAGATAAAGTATATATGTCTAAAATTAATTTGATTCTTTTCAGTAGTTCAAATTTTATAAAAGTTTTTTAGAGATTGAGGTCACATGGACCCCATCTGTTCATCCGTATAACTTTTTTAAATCTGTTTTGGCATTGATACATTAAACACAAATAAACACTTTTTTATATATATCATTTTTATTAATTAAATATTATATTACAGTTTACAAATGTCTAGGCAAAACACAAATGCCAAGGGAAACTGCAAATGCTTAGCTAATCATTTTTGTTATATTCTCTATTAATTGGAGTGATATTTATTTTCTTATGATATAAATTGTTAAATAATAGATTATTTATATTTTAACGTTTAAGATGTTAAATAATAGATTATTTTTATTTTAACGTTTAAATATTGTATTGGACATGTTATTATGTTTAATTCTGTTTAGAAAAGTTATATATTGTTTATATGTTAACGTTTAAAGCGTTATTTTATATTGTATTGGACATGTTATTATGTTTAATTGTGTTTAGAAAAGTTATATATTGTTTATATGTTAACGTTTAAAGCGTTATTTTATATTGTATTGGACATGTTATTATGTTTAATTGTGTTTAGAAAAGTTATATATTGTTTATATGTTAACGTTTAAAGCGTTATTTTATATTGTAATTGGAACATGTTATTAAGTTTAATTGTGTTTAAAAAAGTTTATTTTTATGATTTGACACGTTGTTTTGCCATATATATAAATGATAAAAATTACTTTTAATAAAGATCTTATTGAGATAAAGATAAATAGAATATCTATAATAAAACTTAACAAAATCACCGTATCACAATCAATGCTATATCTTTCTCATATAATATTTGCAATCTATGCGACTAACACCTTACGGACTGCATTATAAATAACTTATAAAAATTAAATTATTAGATATATATAATTAAAGGAAAATACATTAGTAGTTGTATTTCCTTTTATTTCATAATAAATAGCTTAATATTAAAATAATTATAATGACATTTTTAATTTCAATAATATTAAATCCGCAAGTTAGCATTTATTATTTTAAAATACTATTATTTTAAAATATAATAATTTAGAAAAGTTATATATCAGAATTTACTCACTAAAACATTAAAGGATCATTTTAATAAATTCAATTACCATAATACTCATGGTGGAGGGTTATTTCTAATATTTAAAGCAAAATCATTCCCCGGTAAAGTATGTTATTAATATTACGATGTACAATATTATTTTATGTTATATGATATTCAATAATATCAGGTGACTATTTAAATTAAAGATCTGCAAAATTAGGCCCGGCCCGATCGGGCCTAATTTTATTTAAAATAATCGAGTTCGGGCCGGGTTGGGCCTAATATTTTTTAAAAAAATTTGGGCTAGTGTCGGGTCGGACCTTGGAATTTTTTTTAAATATATCTAAATTTATCAATTTTATATTGAATTTTTTATGTAAAATAAAAAATTTTGATTTTATTTATTGAAACTAAGTGACATATAACATATGTCTTTTATTTTGAGTAATTATAAAAATTAATTTCTATATTTAAATAAATTCGGGCCTGGCCGATAAATTATTTTAAAGAAAATTTCTGGTTCGGGCCGGGCCGGCAAAACTTTTATAAAATAAATATCGGGCCAGGCCGGGCTTTAAATATTAGACCCGATGCAGATCACTAATTTAAATTTAAAAAATTTAAATATTATTTATCTTGATTTGTCTAACAGTATTATAGTAAATGATTAATATATATTTATATAATTTGAATCATATTTATATATAATTATTTCATAAACACGATGGCATTCATTCTTTTACCTATTTTTTACCTCATTTTATCGGTATATTACAAGATTACAATCAGAGCAAGTAAGCTATATCCATTTCAAAAATTATATTAATATTTATAGATTTTTTCCTAACTTTCTATCTAATACACTTAATATAATTATTCAATCACAAATGGATCCAAATTAAATATTCTAACGCTTACAAATAATAACCACTATCAAGTAACCTTATAATACTTTGGCAATAACATATAATGTGAGTATATGTATATATATATAAAGATGCATTGTAGATTTCCCATCGTCTGAATCCTACAAACAGAAGGAATGGGATAAGCCAGTTGTAGCTAGATGCTTTAAATTTCTATTATCTAGCATGATTCTACCGAACCTTTTCTCTTCACTTCTTTAATTAATGGATCCGGTAACGAATTTTCAGAAGTTATCCATTTTAACAATCTTCAACTTGAACTCACCAACAATGAGCTAACCTACGCCACTGGGATTTTCCTTAATTATACAATAACCTTTCCTCACATCTGCCTTGTCAACAGAACTCCTATAACAGCAAGGAAGAACAGTTTATACTGTAGATCGAGTAAAGACCGAATCCTCAGGCATAGCCATTGCAATTTCTTGATTTAACGTATCAACAACCTTAAATTTCTTTGGTAAGCTTATCTTTCTATAAGGATTTAGGATCTCACATCTGCAAACTTACTAGCTATCCCCGAGATGGCTTCTTCATCAGACAGAGGCTGGTAGCTATACTTAAACTGAATTATCAAAGCTTAAATGACAGTCGTGTCTCTACAGATCTTCGCCGGACTTACTCTTCCTTATTCTTCTTATTTTATGCATATTTCATCTTTATTTTTTTTATTATTTTGGATTTATTTTTATCTTATTGTAATTTTAATATTGAAATATAGATGTGGAAATAATTATATGAGTACTAAAAAAGAAAAAAATTATATTCATTATAAAAAAAATTTTATTAGTATAAACCTTTTTGAAATTATTATTATAATGATATAATGTATTAATTTGGAGTAGAAAGGGGTTTGGGGTAGGAGTCGGGAACACTTATTATCTGATATTTACGAAAAATTGCAAATTTATCAATGGGGAACCACCTTTTAAAAAATCTGTGTATATCATCGAGAGTATATTTAACGAGGAGAATATCCTCCCTTACTAAAAAAATGCAAATCATTTATAAAATATTTTTGAAGAAATAATGGAAATTTTTAATGAACAAAAAAGGTTATCCCTATTTCAAAAAGGTTATATTTAAAATTATAACAGAACCTGACCTATCTTGGACCCTTACCTATTTGGATAGCAACATCTCATCCCACTCCTGCAGTCTGACCTTTAACCTAGAAAAAGACTCGGACACTCCTTTGATGGCCCACTCCGTCGACCTCATTTCAAATAGACGCTTTGAGAAAACCCCAAATTATATTGAAATAAATACAAACTATGGCTATCTCTTGCGCTGGAAGTTCTCTCGCGAACGTCAACCACTCGATAAATCATTAACAACATTCTACTACTAGCTGTTCTTAAGAACGTTAATATCCCATCCACTCTTGGTTCAGCAAGTCTTTCAAATGATATCGCTATAATCCTGGGTTGTATATCTCTTATTCTTTAGGGCAAACGGTTTCCCACTGACCGATCTTGTAGCAAAGTCTAACCTCACATCTTTTGCCATCAAAAAGACAATAGTCGTTAAAATAAAATACGCTGGCCCCACGAACCAATTCTTTATATCAATAGCACCAACACGTTAGGAATGTTCGGAAAGGAGGCTCTAAATCTTATCAAAGCTATTGGCAAGTAAAGGGGACCTATTACAGTTCATCCCAATGAAGGATTTTACTTACGTCAGCTCTCTCAAAATCTGCCTGTCCAATTTATCTCTAAACATCCAAGTTTTTAAACACTCATTCCTCTCATAGGTGTGGCTGTGGAGTGGATGGAGGGGGGCGGATTCGCTCTCTTCAGAAATTTGCCTGTTATCGTAAATATAATTTTGAGATAATAGAAAACGTCTCCCTACACACCTCCAACCCCACCCCCTCTCCAGAAATAAATGTATACAATATATTGCTATAAACAAGAATACGAATGAAAAATTAGTAAAATTTGATAACTTTTAAAATAACGACTATATTCCTAATTTTTAGAAAAAAAAAAGTGAAACCCCAAAATTATTTTTATAAAAATCTAACATAGCCAATTGCTTACAATAAGTGAATCTAATAATCTCTAATAACTCACCTAATAGTGATTCCTCCCCCCTTTTAGAAAAAATTTGGCTATGCTTATCACTCATTCATGACTATAAATAGAAAAACCATTAAACAAAATTAAGAATCTAATAAAATGGAGGAAGAAATTTATGTATTGAAAAAAATAGATAATATGAACTAAGAATTTTAAGAGATACAACTTTTGAGGCCAAATAAACATTATATGATTTTGAAATGTGGCTCAATTTCATTGAGTTAATTTAATATTAAAGTATCGGTGGGACAATTAACTTCTGTTTTTAAATATTGGTACGAAAGTTTAATTCTAGCAGATATCTTCCAACCAATAAACGCCATTGGAAGCACATTGCATACTTTAAAATATATTTTAGAGTTTTTTCCTAATATATCTTACAATTTTTCAAAATATATTAAAATAATGCCGTATATTTTGTTAGGAATATCAATAGCAAAAGCAATAAATGAGAAAATTTTTCTTCATTACGAAGAATAAAATCCAATCTCAGTATTAAGAAAACAGGAAATCATGGAATAGAGTAGCTATACTTAACATACATAGAATTTCTATTTCCAGGAGATATATTCTAAAAAAACTGGCTCAATCGCAAAAAAAAGATTCAATTTTTACGCGTGAATGATATTTTAATTAACGATTTTTTTTTAAAATCGTCATATAATGTTTAATTCTGAGAAATTTATTGTGATTTACTTATCGGGTTCTCTTTAAATATTCATATAATATTAGGGTGAGCTTTTAATTCGCCTATAGACATTTTGTTCATAGCTTTCCCCTCTAAGGAGCCAATAAATGCCAAGTGCTAATACCGGCGATTCTTGCGAAACGCACCCCAACCAATATTTGTTCCTGATATACATGCCCCCCCCCAACTTGGATTATTATATGACTATCAAAAGCTACTATGCCAATTGCAATATCAAGAAATTTAATTTAGTTATTTGATCGTGTTTGTATTAGTTCGAGGAATCTAATTTAATGCTGCGAAGTTTAGATTTTAGATGTGTAAAATATTTGGCTCTTAGAACATCAAGAAAATTATGCTTATTTTTTTTATATACATATATACTTTACACTTTTATATTATTTTTTGTTCATATTAATTTCCTATATAAATTTTCATAATAAAGATTATACACAAATTGAACTATAAATATGTTAGAAAATACAATTAACATACTATGCATTATCAATCATAATAACAAAAAAAAGACAATATTGAGCATAAATAATATAATAATGTAAAATAAAAATAAATAAAAGCGAATTGATTTTTTGAAAGAATAAGATTTTAATATTATCGATAATCAGTAACATAAGAACCACTCATATTATTTTCAAATAACTATATCTTTTGGTCATTTGGATGGAAATTGAAAGGAAAATGTGAAAACGCCTGGGTCCTTGACTATAGCCTTTTTTTGCAGAATATGTTTGTTGTAAAGGTAAAAACAAATAAGCCATTACTTTTATAAGGTATTAAAAACTTACAACGAAAAAATAAGGTTATAATTATAATCTAATAAAATAATGTCGTAGCAAATTGACCGTAATTATAGGTTCCTTTTCGACCCTGTATAACTTGATAAAAGTATAGAGGAAGACATTAATTGATTAAGAACTGGTGTTAATGTTTTAAAAATTCACTGTTGATAATTTTATTTTAAACATCAACAAACTTTTATAATATATGACACAAATAATTTATTAATTTTTATTTACTGGCCTACATGTGCATTTTACCGAGATCTGGCATGTGTTGAGTTGAGATTAGAAACGTAAGGTCTATTAACTAACTTAATATTAGACGTAATCCCGCCACTTTATGTAAAACAACCTATAGCAGATACAGAAGCCCCAAATTCTCAATTAAATTTCAGCCCAATAGTTTCAGTTTACCCCTCAGCTAACACGCCATTTCTTCTGGAAAAAAAAGATAAGATATAATCTTAAAAATAAATCCTTTTTTTTTACCGCCAAATTTATATCCGGAGTGTCAATCTTTGCTGGGCTTTTGAAGACTAAGGAGTAAAATTTTATGTTTCCAATATTCCGATCAGGCTTCTTCCTAAGAATCAACAATGTCCGGTTTCTTAATAGATTATACTTTCCCCCTGGCTCCTTAACATCTAGGGTGCTAATAACTGAGCGCCCAATTCTGATCTCTTAGAGCGAGGTTAGTTAACGGCCATTATATATTTTTTGGTAGAATAAAAAACAAATATATTAAAAGAAGTTTTAGCCAAAATTAAGGAATGTGAACGCGGACCCTTAACTCTTGTGAACCGTATTTTAGTTCTACCCGACTAACCGAGAGCTCAAGAGTTATAAGTGTCAAAAAAAATTTAAAAATATCAACTTTTTATTTTCGTGGGATCATATTCTATCTTCACATTTTTCTTACAATTTTCATTCCTGGACTTCCATTTTATTTTTAAATTATTTTCTAACATAGGTAATAATATTTTATTATGTAAATTTATTAATATGCTATATAATAGAAATACTTTGATTATATTGAAAGTGAATTATTTTGTAGTGCGAGTAATAATATTTTTTAATCCTATTAGTAAGGCAATTGGAATATCAAATAACGGATTTAAAATTAAAGAGACCTAGTAGTTAATGAATTGAAAAAAAAATACAAGCTAAAATGATAAAAGAAATAAATAATAAATTAATTTCATTAAAAATTGATTCCGCCAAAAGATTAGGGAGATTCTAGGAATAAATATACAGTATATGAAAGGAAATAATATAATATTGAAGAAATTTAGCTATGAAGGATATTAGTGCTACTTCTGAATATATTAATATGATAAAATTAGAAACATTAAATAAATTTCATATTTCTATAAGAAATGTTTATACAATTACTACGGATAATGGTGCTAATCTTGTAAAATCAATTAAATTATTAAATGAATGTTCACTGGAAGAGAAGGATGTAATAGACGATGATTATAACGACATAAATACAAAAAATAATAGAAGATTTATCCACAAATATATATTGCATCAGATGTGCAGAGCCCATACTCTACAATTAACTATTAATGATTGCCTAATAAATATTCCCTTTAAAAATATTATCGATAAAGTAAGGGATGTAAGCAAAATATTTAAGAACTCCCACAATTGCAAGAATATTAAAATCAATGAAAAGGTCAATGGCAATATGAGATTGTACAACACGTTTATGATGCTAGAATAATTATTAGGTTTGAAAGATGTCGGTACTGATTTTATTATAGGAGAGCATGTGAAGTCATTTTGTTGGAAGATGATTGGTGCCAAATAGAGGACCTTACTAGTGTATTATTTCCTTTAAAAATAACAATTTTAAGATTAAAATCAGAACAATTATGTTTATCTTATTTCTATGGCATATGAATTAGATGCCGATTAGATTTAGAAAGATTTATTAATCCTTTTTCATACGAAATATTAGAAAACATAAATATTCGAGAGCAAATAAATTTGCAAAATATTGTTGTGTACGCTTCTATATATTTAGACTTTTCAATATCAAATTTTATTGAGTATATTCAGCAAAAACAAATGGCTGGCGACCATCTTAAGATTTGCAATTTGCCATACGCAAAACTCCATTATTTACAACTTATTGGAGGCTACGACAATACTTACTGGTTGTAGTGATAATAATGATAATGATAGCGACATTGATGATCTTATAATTTTTACATTTAGATAGAGAAAAAAAAAATTAAATTATCATCAGATAGAAAGGAGGAACAAAAAATACCTATTACATTTTTAATAGAAAACTTATCAGAGGTTAAGAGAATAAATAAACAAATATTTTAAAATTCCGAGAAGAAAATTCTTCAATATATACAGAAATATACATGTTGTCTTCGTCATATCTCTACCGACGACACAAGTACTATAATTTATGTATTATAAAGATAACTATCTATTTTAGGCATTTTTTTAAATACATATTGTCTTATTTACACGGAAATCTCAAGGATAACATTTTAGAGGATATTATGATTTCTGCGATTGGATGAAACATTTTAAATGCAAATTATTTTTTTATTTGTAAATTATGAATGTGTATATATTGAAATAATAATAATAAATGAATGTAAGAAAAAAAAGTCTCATTTTGAGTCATTTATTTTTACGTTCTCTAAACCTGGACCCAAACCCTGGACCCTATTCTTTTGTCGAAGGGTTCACATCCCTGATATTTACAATTGTTTTTATTTATACAAGGAAAATGGTCAACTTTATTTTTAGTCTATCTATTAATTTTTTTTTTAAAAACAATGCATTTATATCTCTATCAAGACATGTAAACAAAACGCTTACAAAAGTATCATCTTATTTTCCCCCAGAAATTTTGACAATTAGGAAAGCTAATTAAACTGCATTAATAAAATTCTATTTAAATATCAAAGGCAATTCGATTTTCAGCGCTAAAATTTATATATGTTAGCGTTAATGTGTTATTTTTACAACTTCAAATCATTTTTTGAGCCCATTTTATTAAAATCAAAAATCGCATTATACCGGAAATA